ATTGGCATTCTCTATGCCACGGAGGTGAGCTCTGCCTTCACCTGCTAACGTCCCAGGCCCTGCCCCATTCCGCCTGGCCCTAAGACCAGAGAGACAGGGACCAGAGGAGCCTTGGAGAACATGGACCGCTGAGGAGAGAGAGCTGAAGTCACAGTCCCCAGGTCACAGAGAGCATTGGCAGGGAAAAGGACTAGAACTCGGACCCCTGCTCCCAAGCTGCCTATATAATTCCACCCTCAGCCTGGCCTGCCTGGCTCACCATTTCCCTCTCCCTTCCCACCCTCCAGGAAGGATTTGCACCTCCCGAGGATGATGAGATTGAGGAACACCAACAAGAAGACCAGGACGAGTACTGAGGGCGGCCCCAGCCCTGGCTGACTGCACGCCCCCCACTCCTCTCCCACCCCCACATTATAACCCTTTCCTCACAGCCGGTCGGCTGGGTGCTTTGTGTCAGTGCCGCAGCATTGGGGAGTCAGGCAAGGGGGCTTGAGGGGATGGGGTAGGTGGGCAGGCAGAGGCCCTGATCTCCTGTGGCACTGGCCCAGTGGGTCGGACCCCTGCCCACTCCCCACCCCTATTTATTTCCGTTGTCTCTATGCTGTTTCGGCCAACACTTCCCAGGGTGCTGCGCCACCCGCCCCAGCCAGCCGCCTGCTCCCCTGACAGCCAGCAGCTGTATATTTGACAAAGTCATTGGTATATTTTTACTTACTGGATTTTCCTTGCACTTTACCTGTTCTTTTCCCAGGGCTCACAGCATGGGCTCCGGGGCAGTGTGCCTGGCTTGGCCTCCCTTCCCCATTGCCAGGCCATGGCAGGACTCACTAATTCTTATTTATTTTGTCTTTTGACTCCCAGTAGTTGAGGGGAAGGCTGATGTCAGGAGAGGGATGGGGGACTGAGGAGGGGGTGCCTTAGGCCTTGGTGGTCAGGGAGAGAGAGGGGAGCATGCGAGGGATGCAAATGACCTCCTGGCACCAGACTCAACCATCCTGGGCCCTCTTCCCCCAGCCTCAAAGCCCAGCACTGCCCCGAGGCCCCCAGCCACTCCCTCTGCAGCTCGGTTCATACCACACAGACTCTGCCCAGACCCTCCTGTACGTCTGCCTCCCATCCACCTGCCTCCCCCAGCCCTGGCTCCTCAGGCCACTCAGCCTGTGTATGTGTTCACTTTTATTTAAATAAACTTGTGTGGTAAAAGTCCATGCCATGTCTCCCTCAACTGAGCTACAGCCTGGGTCTCAGTGCTTTGCTCCTCCTGAGCACTCCCTCTCCAGAGCGATTGCCACTGCCCATCTCTGACCTAGTCCCCACCTCCCAACACGCACGCCAGGGTTCTCAGAGAAGGCATGGATGCCCACCCCCAAGCCCTGAGGAGGAACAGGGTTTAGGGCCATGGCTGTGATGGTAGGTAGCCCAGTAAAGTGGCTGGGGGTGGGGGGGACAGGTGGCCTGGCCAAGGGGTGCTTTGTTTCAGTCTCCCTTGGACCAGTTAGACTGCATGTTGTCCCCCACCCCTTGTCAAAGCTCACATACCTCACCACAGTGATCCAGCCGGGGACAAGGGCTCATCTGACAGAGAGAGCTGAATGAGTTGCAAAGAGTAAGCAACTCTGAGCACTGAAGCCCAGAAGGACAGCAGTGCCCATGTGGTTCCTTCTGTAGAACAAGGTCTCATGGGAACCAGGATCAGAAAGCTTTCACATCGTCCACACAGCCCTGCATTCTTGGTGCGTGACCCGGCAAAGGGCCTCAATCACCAGTGTCCTGCAAGCCTGACCAAGAGCTCCCAAGCCCATTCAAACAAAGCCTTGGCAGTCATGTAGACTAGCGCCCTTGTTTACTGATGAAGGGACCGAGGCCCACAAGTGACATGACTTACTCCAGGTGGTAAAAACCTGGACTAGAATTCACATCTCCTGGCTCGTGGTTGAGTACTCATCCCCAAAGACCACAAAGGTATTGCCTCCAGAATGTTCCTCTAGGTTCAGGCTAGTCCTGGTAGCTGTTTCTTCACCATCATGCATATGACCGAGATACAGTTGGGGCTGTTTCTTCTGTGGCTCTGCTCCATGAACCTTCTTCCAGACCACCACCATTTCTCTAATGGCTCCAGACAGAAGCTTAAAATAAGCAATTCCTGCCTGCTCATTCCTCATTCACTTCTCCTCCTCCTTTTGACACCCACCCCACATACAAATACTTCTGGCTTTATTTTATCTCTTTTTCTCCTCCAACAAGTTTCTTGCCTGCTTTTATTGATCTTCATGATTTTTTAATCCCTTGCCTAATTTTAAAAGGTTTTTCCTCCATTATCCCAGGTAGATACTATCAAAGCATAAGGTAGTTGTTCTGTGTTGCCCAATGTTCATCTTCAGGCCAAGACCTCACCCTGTTGCTAAAGCAGGTGTGGTAGGCAGAATAATGCCTCCCTCCGAAGATGTCCACATCATAATTTCCAGGACGTATGAATATGTTGCGTTACATAGCAAAGAGGAATTAAAGTTGTAGAAGGAATTAAGTTGACCTTAAGCAGAGTAGCCTGGGTTATCCAGGTGGGCCCAATGTAATCACAAGAGTCCATAAAAATGGAAGAGAGTGCAGAAGAGGTCGGAGTGATAGAATGAGAGGACTTGACCCAATGCTGCTGGCTTTGAAGATGAAGGGGGCCATGAACCAAGGAATGTGGCAGCTTTCATGCTGGGAAAAGCAGGGAAACATCCTCCCCTGGAGACTCCAGAAAGAAACACAACCTGCAGATACCTGTTTTAGCCCAGTGAGACTTGTGTCAGACTTCCACCTTCCAGAACTGTAACATAATTTGTGTTGTTTTAAGCCGCTAGGTTTGTAGTTATTTGTTACACCAGCAAGAGAAATCTACAGATTTCTACTACCATGCTTCCATAGGCTTACCCTTCTTCTTGCCCCCACTAAACACCCACCTGTCCCCCTTGAACCAACACCTTTTGATTCTTCCCTCAAACCCCATGTAGGTACCTGCCCAAGTCCGCCTCCATGGCTAGTATCTAAGGCTGCTCTTCAAATACCCAGAGCTCAGGGACATAAAACTCCCTCACCTCTTCTCAGTACCTCATACTAAATGTGCCTTTTCATGGAACATTTAAGACGGTGAACTGTCATTTTCTGTTTACACATTTGTCTCCCACACAGTTTTCAAGTTCCTCACAAGCAAGTGAGGTGCATCCTCCAGCCCCACCTAGCATGGTGCTAGGTGCTTAGGTAGAGAAGGTGCTTTGGAAATGCTGCTGGATAAGTAAATGACTTCTGTCCCCTATATACCACATTACTACAGATGACCTGCCAAACTATTATTTTAAGGAAAGACAAGAAAGAAAGCCTCCCTCCCCCGCCCATCATTCTATATTTTTCCCCCTCCTTGGCCTCTATGGAAAGCCCATTCTGTTTCTCTTCCCAAAATAGTGTCTCTTCTGAGACCATGCATGTGACATAAGGGGTCAAGCAAAGAGGGGAAATTGTTGGACTCTGAGTAGAGCTAAACCAATGATCTGATTAATGAATTAATGATCAGCTCAAATATGGTCCTTGGCAAAAGTACTCCATCTCAGAGCTACCTGAGGCAAAGTCAGCCATGATCAGACCTGAAGAGGCTGGAGGCCAGGCAGAAAGAGGCAGCAAGGGCTGATTATCTCTCACCTCCTGCCTTTCTCCTACCCCCAATGCATCCTTCACTTCTCCTTATTCATCTTTCCAAAACAGTGGATGATGTTACTTTCCCATGGGCTTCCTAGGGTCTGGCGGATAAAGTCCAAATTAGGCAGGCAAGACCCATGGCATATGGGCTCAGACCCTTTTCAATCTCATTACCTCCAAATTCCATTAAGCACTGTCACACTAAACCACTTCGTTTCTCAGCCTTGCCCTACACTGTCCCACCTCTAGGCCTTTGCTTAAATCAGTGACTCCATACAATTGGCTTTTCTCCAGCTGTCCTGATCTCCAACCAATGAAAATTCTCCCATTCCTCAGGACCCATCTCAACTTCCATCTCCTTCAGGAAGCCTTCTCCAATCTCCTTCCTAAGGAATTTGTCACCCTCTAAGCTGTCTGGTCCAGTAGGAATTTGGACTCTATTAGTTCTTACTATAAGGGCTGGCCTGCCTTGCACCTCAGTATGGCAGGTATGAATCTCAACCTCAAATGTAGGAGTGTACACAAAATAGCACATTTCCTCAATTGTGATAAGTTACTTTCATTTCGCTTTCCCTCGTCCTCCCCTGCTGGGATCTTCAAGCTCTTCATGGTCCCACATGATACTACAAGCATGGTAGGAGGCCCTCCAGGAATAGTGGATGTCTGAGCAGTAACCTGTTTGAGTGGTTCCTCAGCTCTGCAGCTTTTGATCACTTTCAGGCCACATCTGGGACTTAGGACACTGCAGACAGAGCCAGAGCTGTCTCTTTCCCATTGCCTGGAAGGGGAAATCCAGCCAGCCCTGGCCGTCCCAGACCCCCGATTTTCCCTGCCTCATATAAGAACTGTCCGCTCTCCAAAAACTGTCTCTTCCCTCAGGCTCCATCCTCTTCCTTGTTCCTTCACAATATACGTTTACAGGCCATTAAACTCAACATTAATCACTAGCAACAGAACACAAGCACTTTCCTAGAAGGAAGGAAGCATTTAGTCTACAAACTCTTCCTGGAGGTGAAGAGTCTTCTTTTCATTCCATCCTTCTGACACTACTAGAAAGAAAAACTGCAACAGTTAAGTTTCCAAGTCGCCGGGTGCAGCGACCTTCACACAGTGGGTGCTCCTTGCAGTTTGCTGAAAGCAAGTGCCTCCGGTCTCACATCTTGGCCTGAATAGCGCGACAAAAACGAAGACTACAAGTCCCAGGCTGCCTTGCGGGTGTCGTCACGCGCCGCGAGGCTCTGCGAGGAGACGTGGCAGAGCGCGGCGCGCGCACACCGACCGGAAAGCCCAGGGAGGCCGCTGACAGTGGCGGGAGGGTCGGAGCCATGGCGGCCAGGACGGCGGGTGGGGGGCGCTGGGAGGTGGTGAAGAAGGGGCGGCGGCCTGGGGCCGGAGGCAGTGGGCGAGGCGGCGGAGTGGACCGCCGGGCGCTCGGGGAGGCGAACGGCGTGTGGAAATACGACCTGACCCGTGAGTACCCCCCCGGCCCGCCGCCGCCCGGACCCGGGCCTGCGCCCCCAGGGGGTTCCCCAGCAGCAGAACTCTCCGGGCTCCTCCAGGCGGAGCTCTGCTGCCGATCGGCGCCTCCCAGTTCAGCGAGCGCTACCCTTGCCTTGTCTCTTTTGAGCCTCATAAACGGCAGACAGCGCGAGGGAGGCTGCTGTCCTGGCTTCGCGGATGAGTAAACTGAGGCTCAATGAAGTTAGATGCCTGGCCCAGGATCACCTGTCAGGGTACTAGGAGTCCGGTCTCCCCACGCCCCGCTCACTGCACACACCCTACCAGCTGTTCCCGGGCCCTAGCCTGGCCTCTCTGGGCAGGTGGCCGAGCGCTGGGAAGAGGCATCCTTGTCCATTATATAAGGTGCCCCCTCCAGGAGGTGGGGTGAAGGGAGGACGGATAGGAGGCCCCACCACATACTTTAAACACCCACCAAGCCTTATTCTAAGTGGCGCCTCTTTCCTCCGAGTCTCCCAGAGGAGTGGAGAAAGCTTGCCACTTGTTGATTGTGGCGTTTTCACATCTGAAACAAGATGGAAAAATCCTGATCTCCCGGACTAGTAACCTCTCACCAAAGGAGCCAGCCCTCTGTCTCCAACCCCTCCACTAGTTCACAGATAGTCTGATTTACTAATAATGCCTCATCTCTGTGAAAGGGCCCATGAACTCAAGAGCTGTGATGACTGAAAGCAGCAGCCAGAAGGGCTCACGGGCCTGCTCCCTAAGCAGGACAGCAAGGAGGGTATTTGAGGCAGCTCCTCCCCGGAGGTGAATTAGGTGACAGGGTGGGAGAAGGGGCCAGTATTCCTGAGAGGTCCTCAAGATCCAAGGATGGTCCCTCTTTCTCTGCTTATTACATCAGCTCCCATCCAGACGACAAGCACCCTTTATGAGCGGGGCTTTGAGAAAATCATGAAGAAGCAGAATAAGGAGCAGGTTCCACCCCCAGCCGTGGAGCCTAAGAAACCTGGGAACAAAAAGCAGACTAAGAAGGTGGCAACCCTCACCAACCAAAACCAGAAGCAGGGCCGCTTCCGCAGCCTGGAGGAGGCACTGAAAGCTGTGAGTGTGCCTAGACTTTCGGTGGGGAAGGGGCCAGACAGCTGAGGAATTTAGGACACTATTGGTAGAGAGGAAGCATTCAGGGAAGGATGGAAGGATGGAAACCCCAAGGGACAGAATGTTTGCTTTAGGATAAAAAAGAAATGAGAAGTTTCTAGGGAAACACCGATTAGTGAGAAGAGAGCCTTGAAACCCAGAGATCCCAAGGAGAGGTTGGAGAAACTACTTGTGGTTCCTTACCCCATGGAAGCAGTGATCTTTTGCATCTTGTCCTTTGTTTTTCCCCTTGAACATGTGAAGGGCCTAAGAGTACTGGGCCTTGAGATCAGCAAGTCCAGCTGTCCTAAACGTTGAAAGATCTGTATCAGCAAAATTGTGGCATTCCACATACTTATGTTTAAAAGCAGAAACCCTTTGTTCTTCCTGTCACCACCTAGTTCAACCATTTTCCCACCTCTCCCCCATTTTTCTGCACTCACAACTCACCCACAACTGACCATGTGAGGCCTGTGTCCCTGGCAGCTGGATGTGGCAGCTCTACAGAAGGAACTGGACAAGAGCCAGAGCGTGTTCTCTGGGAACCCATCTGTGTGGTTGAAGGACCTGGCCAGCTATCTCAACTACAAGCTCCAAGCACCTCTAAGTGAACCCACACTAAGCCAGCATACTCACGGTTAGTTCTCTCAACTCCCTCAAGCTCAGACAATTTGAAGAAAATTCCGAAATGGCTATGTGTAAGCACACTACTTAGGAACAGACCCTAGTATCCTCCACTGCCCTGATTTATATGGTGGAGCTGTTCTCAAATCATCATGGCCGTGAATGTTTCTGGGCCTTATTGGGATAGGAAGGGTGCCAGCCTCAGTGCAGGGGCCTCTGCTCCACTCACCATTCTCAGGGAGCACGCCAGTGTGCTCAGAGCTGGTAGAAGATTCTGGTCCTTATACTCATATGGAGGTCTATTGCCCCAGATTATCCCTATAGCCTGGTGAGCCGCGAACTGCGTGGGATCATCCGAGGGCTACTGGCAAAAGCAGCGGGGTCTCTGGAGCTCTTTTTTGACCACTGTCTGTTCACCATGCTGCAAGAGCTGGATAAGACGCCAGGTGAGAGGGGCCCATGAGGGATAGCCTAGCCCCATCTTGGGGGCCTATTTCCTTTTTCTTGCTTCAAGAGCAGCTGGGTTGTTGTTTCCATTAGAGAAATGTGCTAATCCTGACACTTGGGGAAAGGGAGGAGAAAGTTAGGATTCACTGGCCTGGGTTCTGGGCTCATGGCTGTGAATAGGGAGATTTCAGGTTTTGGGTGCCTATTCCTATGTGTGAGTCTAAGAACATGTGTCTCTCCAGGGGAGTCACTACATGGTTACCGCATCTGTATCCAAGCCATTCTGCAAGACAAACCCAAGATTGCCACCATGAACCTGGGCAAGGTGAGCTCAGGATGGTGGTAGGGACACTACAAGGCTAGGACCGGGGAAGCTGGGCAGAATCTACACTGTTGGACCCAATCAAGGGCTAACAGAAGACCCTTAAGTCCAGTCATAACAGCTGATACTATTAGCACTTACTGTGTGTCTGCTTTGTATATATGAGGCAAGTACTGCTGTTATTCTAATTTTATAGATGAGAAGATTGAGCCACAGAGGGGTTCAGTAACTTTCCTAGAGTCAGTCAACTAGTAAGTGGCAAGTATGGGTGAAGGCCACAGTCTGGTGCCAGAGCCCATGCTCTAAATCACTGCACCACACTACCATAGTGTGCTCCACTGTCCCTCAGCCTGTCCCTCCCAGTTGACAGCTCTCCTCCTGCCTCGCTTTGGGGGTGCTTCTGATGCTTTGCCCTATCCCAGCCTGCCTTTCCTACTGGTCTCCTCAGTTCCTGGAACTGCTGAGGTCCCACCAGAATCGACCAGCAAAGTGTCTGACCATCATGTGGGCACTGGGTCAAGCAGGTTTTGCCAACCTCACCGAGGGACTGAAAGGTAACAAAGCAGTGGGAAAGAGAGGGGTGGTCTTGGAGCCAGGAAGCTCCTTTCTCATGTCCCCAGTGGGTCTGAGCTTGAAGCTTCCTCCCTAACCTTTGTCTCCACAGTGTGGCTGGGGATCATGCTGCCTGTGCTGGGCATCAAGTCCCTGTCCCCCTTCGCCATTGCATACCTGGATCGCCTGCTCCTGTGAGTAGTGGGGTGATGGCAAGGGGAAGGCCCAGGTGTCTCCAAGTGGCTGTTTCAGTAAAATGGGATGCTGGGATCCTGGTCTCTGTAGATGTGAGGAAAACCAGGACCAGCTAGCTCCTCCAGCTCTGAAAGTGGTGGTGAGGAAGGAAGGGGAGGGAACCATTAAAGGGTGAGGTATTGGGTAGAGTTAATGTCCTTATTCCTAGATATTGGTCTTAGCTGGGATCTTGGCCTGGGTGGTAGTCCCCAAAAAACCTGTTTCTTTCTTCCCCCACAGGATGCACCCCAACCTCACCAAGGGCTTTGGCATGATTGGCCCCAAGGACTTCTTCCCACTTCTGGATTTTGCCTATATGCCCAACAACTCTCTGACACCCAGGTAGGGCCACCCTGGGACACACCTGCTGTGAAGGATCCCAGCAGGGGCTTAGAAGCAGGCAGTATATTTCTTTAGCCACCCTAAATCTAAGATTCTCAAACTGCAAGTTCAAGGGATCAGTAAACCCCTTGAAATGATATGGACCCTTGAGTGTGATTAGCATGTAGGCATTTTCCTGGGGAGAGGATCTGTGACTTTCAACAGATTTTCCAAAGAGTCTCTTAGTCTAAAATGATTCAGAGCCATTACAAGGCCCTTAGACTCCCAGCCTTGGGCAGAGTGTGGACTCTGAGGCAAGCAAAAGGGACACAGTGCACAACTCTATTTAGAGCCTCTGCCTGGCTCTCCTCCCCACCCCCATTCCAGCCTGCAGGAGCAGCTGTGTCAGCTCTACCCCCGACTGAAGGTGCTGGCATTTGGGGCAAAGCCGGAATCCACCCTGCATACCTACTTCCCCTCCTTTCTGTCCAGAGCCACCCCCAACTGCCCTCCTGAGATGAAAAAAGAGGTGAGGAAATGGTGGGAGGCTCCTTTTTCCCTTTCAAGGGTCAGCTGTGGAGATCCCTACTGCCGACAAATGCCCTGCCTTCATGGACCTGTTTCCTGAACATCCCTTAGCTCATTCCTGACAGCTTCCTGCCCTACTCTGTCATGTTCTATCCTCAGAAAACAGAGCTGCAAAGACAGCACATTCAGGTCTGGCTGGTCTCTGATGTCTTCTTTCTTGCAGATGAGTGATCTTTGAGTTCAAGGTCTAGCTCAAGACCCCAGCCTCCCCCTTTTCAGTCTCTGAGATCTCTGGGGTCTGGGCACAATTTCTCCACCCTTTAGAGTGGATGAATTGCCTGCATGGTCTCACTTGGGAGAAGGGGATTACTTCTCAGCACTGTCTCCTCCACCAGCCCCATGCCCCACTGTCTCTCCCTCTCTCATCTCCTGTGCAGCTCCTGCGCAGCCTGACCGAATGCCTGACGGTGGACCCCCTCAGTGCCAACGTCTGGAGGCAGCTGTACCCCAAGCACCTATCACAATCCAGGCAGGTTGGGGCAGGGTGTCAACCACCTCTCACTCACACAGAGATTCCTTAGTTCAGGCCTCCCAGCCTCTCCCTGTCCGAGAAGCAGAAGGGAAACATTTGTTACTGTTCTTAGGGCTAGTGCATCTCAAGTTGAGTGGGAACATTGCTGGGTGGCCTTTAAGAAGCTGGTCATCTGCTAGTAGGGGGTGCAGTCTTTCATCCTGAAGCAGCCAGTGGCCTAATGGGGATGGGAAGGGCTGAGTGGGCTCCCTGATTGCCGGGGTTGTGCTTTCCCTACAGCCTGCTTCTGGAGCATTTGCTCAGGTCCTGGGAGCGGATTCCCAAGAAGGTGAGGAGCTGGAAGGACATGGCAGGCTGAGCCTCGTCTGGGTTCTGGGTTCGTACCCCCAGCCACTGTCCCCCCTTCCCTGAGAAGGCATTCTGTTAGTACATATGGCATGGAAAATGAAGCATGGTGGAGGCTCAGGGTTCCCTAACAGCCAAATCTTATACTCTCAACCCAGATGTTTCTTATCCTGTAGGCACAGAAGTCTTTGCAAGAAACCATTCAATCCTTCAAGCTTACCAACCAGGAGCTGCTAAGGAAAGGCAGTTGTAATAACCAGGATGTCGTCACCTGTGATGCAGCTTGCAAGGTGTCAGCACCCAGCCCTCCCCAACCCACACACTGTTCTGCATCTGTCTCGGCACACCCTGGGTTGGGCCTGTATCACATTCCTGCCCCACCTGTCCCTGGAGCCCCCACTACCTTGAGCATTGTGGGGTCTTGACCCTCCCCTTGGAAGGCCTAGCTTGAGGCCTGCCTTAGGAAGCAAGAAGCCCCGTCCCTTCTGACCACTGCTCCTACCGCCTTTCCTCCTAGGGTCTGTTGCAGCAGGCTCAGGGCTTCCGGCTGCCCTGGACACGGCTACTCCTGTTGGTGCTGATCTTTGCCATAGGTTTCCTGTGCCACGATTTCCGGTCACACAGCTCTTTCCAAGGTAAGCAGGGATTGGCATGGGGTGGATCACAGAGCTAGGTGAAACACCCTTGTCCCCAGCACACAACTCTGCCCTGATGCTGCAAAACAAGCTCTGTTCAGACAGATTTTTATGTCCATAGCTATGACATTACCACTTCAGATTGGACTAGTGCTTTGCAATGTAGAAATGCTTGTATGTTCATGGTCTCATTTAAGTAGGTGTTATCTCCTTTTTAACTCTTGAGGAAATTGAGGCTCAGGAAGATTTATCAGTTAGATTAAGATCACAGCTGGATAAACAAAACAAAAAAAAAGATCACAGCTGGTAAGTAAGACAGACGCCAAACCTGAGGCTTCCTGATACCTAAGTGATACCTAAGTCCAGGGCTCCACCTGCCTACGCTATTCCTGCTCACGTGACCTAGCAAGAGAAATGGGCTCAGCTCCCTGGGCCTGCATCCCCTCCCTCTAAGCGTGCTCTGCAGCCCTGTGAACACACTGAGGTCTGCCCCATCCTTCACTGGGCCTGCTCTAGATCCTGTAGTATCTGTCTGCCTAGTCTCTGCCCAACCTTTCAGCTCACCAGAGGCCCCCTTTACTTAGCTTCCCTTTCTGGCCGGTTGCTTCAGTCATCTGGTTTATTGCCTGCTGGCCAAAAAGCATGTGCCAAGATCTACTCCTACAGCCTGCAAGGCTACAGGTGAGCACCTCCCAGGGAGGTGGGGAGAGGGATTGGGTGTTTAGGGTGGTGATGGCATTGACAGTCAGTGGGAAGTGTGGTTTTCCCTTTCCAAGGCCTCCCTTCCCCTAACTATGTCTGGGGAGCCGAGCTGCCTGACGAAACTCAGCCCTCCGCTCTCCTAATTCCTACAGCTGGCTAGAGGAGACATTGCCAGCCTGGGGCTCTCACCTGCTGACTGTGGTGAGGCCCAGCTTGCAGTTCGCCTGGACTCACATCAATGCCACAGTCAGCTTCCTTTCTGCCCACTGTGCCTCCCACCTTGCCTGTTTCAGTGACAGCCTCACCAGCCTCTCCCAGCGGGTAAGCCACAGATGTTGAGGTCAGAGAAGGGCTGGTCTTCCCAGCAGCTGAGTTCTTGGGAAGGTGCAGCCCCTCGTGGACTGGTTCCTCAGGGACAGGATGCATTCAGCAGGCACCCTAACCCTATTTATTCTCCATGGTCCAGCTCCAGCTCCCTGATGCCCTGAACCAGCTGCTCCATTCTCTGAGGGAGCTGCTTCTGCTTCTTTACCACAACGTGCTGTTGCCAGTGTGGCTCATGCTGCTTGAGGCCCTGGCTGGGGCCCAGCAGTACTGCCACAAGGCGTGCAGGTGAGACTCTCATCCGGGGCTCCAGCAGGAGTCCAGTGGCCCCCATGCCCTTTTTCCAGGGACACATCTCCGTTCAGTCTCTCTGCCCTGCCCCTTGCTCATCCCTTGGCCATCCTGGTATGCATTTGTGGGTCTGAGAAGCAGCTCTGTGACTTGACACAGCTAGCTGCACATCACTACTTCCCAACCCCACAAATGTTCTGCTTTCCTCCCAGAGGCGAGGTGACCTGGGACTGCGTGAAGACACAGCTCAGTGAGGCTGCCCGCTGGACCTGGCTCTGCCTACAGGACATCACAGTGGCTTTCTTGGACTGGGCACTTGCCATGATATCCCAGCAGTAGGCCCTGCCTCCTTGGCCACTAGGTTCTGACTGGGATGGGTTATCTGAGACTGCTGGGGGACACATGGGGGCAGTTCTGCCTGGGGACTTTTTTATTGGTGCCTGAGTTCTGTCTTCTAGGCAAGTGTCCAGTCGTCTCTGCCCCAGTACTTTCGTCTTTGGTGGTGACTGAGCCCAGGGGTATCTCAGCCACCTATCCGCAGGTCCACTGAACACTTCTCTGGCCTTGTTGCACATAGCTCCCAGCCTCTGCCCTTGGGCTGGTAGCCTCTGTAGCCTCCTCTCTTGTCTCCTGCCTTCTATCTCATTCCTGAAGCCCCAAACAGCTCATCCCCAGAGGTGGGACTCCAGCGAGTGGCTTCTGCCTTCTTCCCATGAATGAGTTCTGCCCCCACACTTTAATCACAGCAAGAAAAGGAAAGGGACCCGGAAGGCTACAACACCACAGTAGGGAACAGCAGCTTCACCTCTACCCAAAGCCTGGACGTGGAGGGCTACTTGGAAAAACCTCTCACCTCAAAATGCCCAACTGAGGTCCTTCGAGACCCTTCACTGCCCCCTCCACCCTGATCCTTTTTACTCACCATTCCCCTTCAGTACTGGGGGGCCTCTGCCTCCAGGTTCAGCTTCTCTGCTGCCCACCCCTACCTGCCATCTGTCTGCAGAGCAGAGCCCAGTTAGTTGTATGCCTTGGGCCCAAGGAACCTTTCAGCAACTTGTTGAGACAGGATTCAGCATATAGCTCCTGGATATGCCTACTAGGTGGAATAAAGGCCACAGATTTGATTTCTAGCTTTCCTCTCTGCATCCTCACATAGGAATTCCCATACTTGTGAACAGGACAAAATATGGGCACCTGCATATTCCCCTTTGGCCCTTGCCCTCCTAGGGTTTGTAGCTGCTGGCAGTAATTGAGCTTTTGGCAAGGAAAGCCCACACCCCTCATCCTAAACTTGGCCTATTGAGGGTTCTAGACACACTCCTCTTGCTCCCCTAGTCATATAGTCTCACTTGTCACTGTGATTCATGTCCCAATTGTGATTTGCCGTGACAGTTTAACTATTTGATGCTTGGGAAAGCAGGAAGGAATCTCCTAGGGAAATTATTGGCCAGCAATCGGGATGTCTTCTTCCTTGCCAGGACTTTATTAATTGATTTGTTTTATAAGGAAGTAAGTGGAAGATTTAGAACAACAGAGACAGGATGAAGGGTTTATCACCAAAGTCCTTTTAATTTTGGACTTGAGACTATGTCATAACTGCACAGATTTTCAGTTCTCACCTCAAGTCTCTTGAATGTTTCCAAACAAGCGGTACTAGAGGTGCACTGCCCACTCACATTTTTGTTCCCTTTCCTTGTTAGGATGTTACAACTTGGAAATTAAATAGCCCACACTGGGCAGAACCCTGCTCTCCTAGTGGCAGTTAGCAATGACCATTTTTCACAGAAATTAGAAACCTTGCCTGGCAAAAAGCAGTGGTCTAGGACATCTCAGCAGGACTGTCCAAGGGTCCCAAGACATGTTCCATGTCCTCAGTTACTCTTCACCAATCAGAAACAAATGGGTTCAATTCTCAGGAATAGTGAAGCTTTGGAACTGGCCTATATTCAAGACAAGTAGAAGAAGTTGGCAACAGCAAAGGACAAACTCATGACACTCCTACAATGACATCGAGTCCAGTTCAGCTAAGGCTGCTGAGCTAAGTTCTTTCAATCCAGCAACTTGGAGAATGCCACAAGTGCTTCATTGGTTTCTAATGTGGGTACTGTACCTTGGGTTCATTCCATTTCTGGCATATAACCCTGGGGTGGTGTGACATTTCTCTTCAACTTAGATTAACTGAGGTCTCCACAGCCTCTCACAAGGAGACTGACTCCTGAATTGGCTTTAATAGATGCAGTTGGTTGACCCAGTGTTGGAATTGCCCAGAATTTTTCCTCTGGCAGAGGAGTGGTCCCAACATTGCACCTGCTGTTCATTAAAGCTACACCAGAGATCCAGATGTTTCATTTTTGCAGAACTATCAACAAACAGCCAGTGAGTTGAACCAGTATGGACTAGTGGAGCACACTCTGGTGCTGACAGGTTGGCAATGACTTGGTGTTAGAAGAACAGAAGTAAATTGACACTGGAGAGGGTTACAGCTGGACATTGTTACTTTACTTTTCACACACAGCTGGAGTTCTACAGATAACGCGCCACAAAACTGAAGGGCAGTTTAAATATGGTTACCTCTTAATTACAAATTATGTGGACCTGCAAATTATATTACATGACTCATTTGAAACACTTCTTTCCATTTTTCTAAGTCTTAAAGTATGTTTCCACACTCCTCTGGTTATTTGTACCCAGTCTACAGCTTTAGAGCAGGCCAACTTGATGGGCCGGCCTGATTTACTATGGATAGATTATCTTGCCAGGCAGATAACGTTGCTGGTCTCACACCTGCAGCATTGCTCGTCCGTTCTCAAATGCCACCACCCTTGAGGTGAAGTGTTTCCCAAAGAGAGGGACATGCCTTCCCTGCCGTGTTCCAGAATGACCCAGTTGTCAGTTACACAGAAATTTCAATGATTGGATGACCTCAGCAATTTAATATGTCTCATCTCTCCTGAAGGAGTTTGAATTTAAGCAAAACACTTAAAATGATCCATCCTTTTTCTACATACTCTTCATGGTCCCACTCCCAAAAGGGCTTGAGGGGACAAAGGACCTTGCTTTTCCCTATGTGGTATTCCATTTTTACTGGGTATTTTCATTACCCCGGACTTGAGGTATGAGGAAATTTGAAGGTGGTGGAGGGGAGCTTCCATTGTTCAAGGTATGAGTGAATATTTATTGAATATTGAATATTCTGCCTATGAATAAAATATTGAATTCAGACCATTTTTTTAATGTGCCTTGGTATAATTTTTTTTTTATTATCCTCACCTGAGGACAGTTTTCCATTTTTTTTGTTCAGATAGAGTGGAAGGGAGAGAGAGGAAAAGAGAGAGAGAGAAACATCGACATGAAAGGGACATAATGAGTGGCTGCCACCCCCACGACCAACCAGAGCCAGGGACAAACTGCAACTGAGGTACGTGCCCTTAGCAGGAACTGAACCTGGGTCTCTCTGGACTGCAGGTCGACGCTCTAACCACTGAGCCAAACCGGCCAGGGCAGTATAATTTTCTTTACTGTGTAAGCACCAGTTTAAATGTTTAATGGACTTCATTTTTAGAGCAATTTTAAGTTCACATCAAAGTTGAGCAAAAGGTACATAAACCCTTGCCCTATACTTGCACAGCCTCTCCACAGCCTACAATAACACATCACTCATCCAAAGTTTGTTGTTTACATTAATCAGACTGTATTATTTCAATCTTTTTAAATTTGTTGAGACTTGTTGCCTAACGTGAGCAAACCTGGAGAATGTTCCATGTGTGCTTGAGAAGAACATGTTCTGCTGTTGGGTGGAATATTCTGTGTATATTAAGTCGAGTTGCTGTGTTGATCAAGGCCTCCATTTCCTTACTGAGCATATCAATAACACATCCTTAATGTTAAGGAACACTACAATAAGAAAGGTGCTAGATACAATAATAAAAATATGGATAAAAGGCATAATTCATAAATGCAAATGAACCACAGACTTGAAAAAAGCCCATTTCATTGGTTAAAATGTACAGATATAAAATAACACTTTATTTTTGTATATCATATTAAATAATTTTTTAAAGTGATAATGTACTCAGTGAATGCTTTGGTAGAAATTGGCATAATGTTTCTGGGAAGTAATTTGGTAGTATTTATCAAAAGATTTAAAAGTTTTTATACTAGCCCTGGCCAGGTTGGCTCAGCAGTTAGAGCATCCCAGACCAGAAAATCCGGGGTTCGGTTCCTGCTAATGGCACGTACCTCGGTTGCAGTTTGTCCCCGGCCCTGGTTGGGTTGTGTCGGTGGCAACCACTTGATGTGTCCCTTTCACGGCAATGTTTCTCTCTCTCTCTCTCTCTCCCTCCCACTCTATCTGAACAAAATATTGAAAAATGTCCTCGGGTGAGGATAAATAAATAAATAAAGTAGATAGATCAGTGGTTTTAAAATATATATGTATATATATTCTGATTTTTTGCATAATTGTAAGAGTTAGTTATCAAAATTATGCGAGGTTCCAAAATATGTAAAAGTAATTATAAAAGATTAACGTGTGTGTGTGTGTTCTGAAGAATAAAAAAGTAAACATTTATGAGTAAACATTAAAAGTAAAGATTTATATTCCAGAACATTTACTGTAGTAGTATTAATAATGAAAATTTGGATATAAACTGTGTCCGACAATAAGATCAATATTAAAATAAATTGTGGTAAAACTAAAGGACAGGAAATGGCTATTCAAATGATTCCAAAGAATCTTTAATGATAGAAAATGTTTATAATTAATTGAGCTTAATTTACTGAAATAATGGCTATACAGAAAAATGTTGACAAGAATGTGGAGAAATGGGAACCCTACATTGCTGGTGGGAATGTAAAACGGTTCACACACTGTGGAAAACAGTTTGAAAGCTCCTCAAAGAGTTGAAACATTATAATTACCATAAAACCTAGCAATTCCAGTCCTAGGTATATAACCAAGAGAAATGAAAACATATATCCATACAGAAATTTGCATATGAATATTTAGAACACCATTATTCATAAAAGCCAAAAGGTGGAAATAGCTCAAAATAGATGAATGGATAAACAAGGTGGTATATTCATACAGGGGAATAGTATTCAACCATAAAAAGGGAGGAAGTACTGATGCAGGTTACAACCTGGATGAATCTCAAAAACATAAGGGAAAGAAATCAGACACAAAAGGTCACATGTTTTATGATTTCTTTTCTATGAAATCTTCAGAATTGGGCAAATCCATGCAGTCAGAAAGCAGATCAGTGGTTGCCAGGGGATGGTGGTGGGGAGTAATTGCTTAAAGGGTACGAGTTGTTCTTGTAGGGTGTTTAAACAAAAAGTTTTGAAACTAGAAAAAGGTGGTAATTTGCACACTGTGAATGCATTAAATGCCACTGAATTGTTCATATTTTAATATTGTTAATAGTGTTATGTGAATTTCGCCAAAAAAGCAACATAAATATGTTCTGCTTCCCAGCCCAGCCCACCCCACCCCCCGCCCCAAGAAAGAAAATAACTGTTAAACACCCCAAGTTAATGCTCTGGGACACAATGGTTCCATTTGCAGCAACAAAGCAAAGTTAAACCAAGATGTTAACATCTACTTTGTGGGTGGGCGCAAGGCGGTGTTGAGCTCAACATCAGACCTCGGATTTAAAGCTCAGCCTGCCAGAACCCATAAAATGTCGGAGCGGCAAGGGGCTTGAAATCATCACCTGACTCGGATTTGCCCAGGGCTATCGTGACTCCAGGTTGTACAGGCAGTTGGCCAAAGCTGGAAACGGAGGTCAGGTCTTCCCGCATCCCCACCCCGCCGGGCTACGAAGCAAGGCTTCACAGGAGAGTTGGGTTTTAGGTTGGTTTCTTTGTTTTTAAACCTCGGGAGCTTCTAGTGGCAAAGGATTGTGGGCTGGCTTTGCAGGCCCCGGGAAAGAGAGGTGAAGGTGTGAGCCGGGTAGGGGCGGGGGCCAGGTGGGCAGAGCCAGGCCCGGGGTCCCTCTCGGGGCTCCGCCCGCCAGTCCCGCCTCGCGGGGTTTTGGCAGCTGGATCCCGCGCCGCCCCGAAAACCTCGAGCAGCTTTGTGGTTTCTGTCTTTCTTGCCCTAGTCAGGACGAATAGAAGCGGGCACAACGTTGGTTAATTGACTGAATGAATGTACTTCACCAGGAGAGCAGTGGGATTTTATTGGCGTCCCGGGAGAAATGGAAGGAAAATGTGGAGCAGAAATAGCAAAAGCCAGCCTTCGGCTGTGCGAACCGGGTTGCGCTCTGCAGTTGCGGGGCGTGCGTGCGTTCTGGCCCCGCTGGGCAAGGCTGCCCAGAAGCTCAGGGTTGCGAGCGGGATCTCTAAGCGTCCGCAGCCCTATGGCAGCCACGAGGAGGGGCGAGGGGTGGAGGTGTATTGTTTTGTAGAATGCAGGGAAACGAAGGGAAGTGTACTGCCGTGTTTCCTCCATGCAGGGTTGGGAAGCGCGCCCTGTGCCCTCACTGCTGTCTCCTGCTTCCTCTGTCCCGTGTGGTCTGGAAGGGCCCAGCCCGGCGAGCTTCTTTAGAAGGTGGAGTCCAGGGCTCCGGGAAGCCGTCCCGGGACAGCGAGGCTTCGGTAAGCATTAGAGGGGAATCTGCAGAATGCTGAGGCAGCGGGGCCTTCGATAGCTCAGTTGGTAGAGCGGAGGACTGTAGTAGGTGGAGCTGTGGCAATCCTTAGGTCGCTGGTTCGATTCCGGCTCGAAGGACTTCGTACAACATTTTTAACCTCCACTTCATTTAGTTGCCTTGTGGGGAAAAAGGTTTACTCCAAGCCAGAGAGAATTTCGTGAGTACTGCCGATGTTCGGTAAAACATATATGCAGTAAGTAGTCGGGATACGTACAGCACAACTCCCGTGTGGGTTAAATCCAGACGTATCAACATGTGTTTTAATTTAAATAAGGCTTTATTACGATGGTTTACGTGTAGTTATTCCTACTTGTTAAAATTTTGCCCATGGATCCAATGTCGTGAATTTCGGTTGGTCGGCTGGTCAGCGGGCAGCGGGCAGCGACCTGTAAGGTAAATGGAGAGAGAGCAGCAGCAGCCGGGGGATTAGCTCAAATGGTAGAGCGCTCGCTTAGCATGCGAGAGGTAGCGGGATCGATGCCCGCATCCTCCACTCGGTTTTTGCCCTCGCATAAATACGATCTGACTAACGGGCGAGAAACCGAACCGGTGGCGTGTTTGTAACAGAAGAGCGCGGCAGACATGGTTACGCTCACGCATTCCCCTTTTATCTGTAAGGTAAGTCTTTTGCAGTTTACTTCTTGGTCATTGTCTCCCGGCTCCTGGCAGACGGGCGGCTGACTATCTTCCCAGAAGACGCGGGCGGAACCCTTCCGCCTGGCGGGCCGGCCGTGCCCCTACACGGCACTGGCTCAGGGACCCGCTCGCGTGCAAGGGAACCCCTGCGCACTGACCAATGGCAGCGAGCTTTACTGGGCGGGTAGCCAGCTGTACCTACGGCCAATAGGCGAGAGACTTGTTGTTTCCTGGCAGAGCGGGGTCCCGGCACCGCGGCGCTCGGGTTTTGTTTGGGTCCTGGGTAGAGGGCCTGGGTGCCGGGGCCCGAGGTGGCGCCTCGCTAGCGGGAAAGGGAGCGGGATCACCGGCCCATAGAGAGGTGAGGGGCTGTGCGTGGCGTGCGGGCCCCGCCCGCCCCGGTGCCGCCCCCTTCTCAGCCCTTTCAGCCCCTTCAGCACCAAGCCCTTCTGGAATCTCACCCCGCCCCTCAACCCGGGCTCCCCGGCCCCACCCCCACTCCGGTGGCCTCACCTCTGACCCCTATTCCCTGCCTTCCCGCCCTCCCTCCACTGTGAGTCTGTATTGACCCATTCCATGCTCCAAACCCTACCCTGCCCTGGGCAGTCTCTGTCCTCCAGAGTCAGGGTTGAGAAGCCCCCAGATGGGTCTCTACCAGCCACTTTTTGGGGGGTACTAACAACACTCATTATTAACCCACAACTACCAGAGTAGCCTGTTCAGGGACCCCAGTGCTTACAGGGCTGGGAAGGGTGGAAACAGAGCTGTGCCCTAATTGGAACTGAGCTGCAGTCTCTAGGTGAGCAAGTGGCTTCTTCCCAGTTTCCTTTGGCTTGACAAAGGCCACACTTTTCTAGTTTTCTTCCATAATAGGCATAGGGTAATAACAAAAAAGAAAGAACCAGCCCTTGCAGGGCTCAGGGG